TGATCTCAGGGTCATGAGTTCAAACCCCACATTGGGTGCAGTGATTACTTAAAAAAAAAAAAAAAAAAAAAAAAAAATGGTGGTACATCGTTAAATATACTTAGAAAATATAAGGTGCAAAAGGGGATTAAAAAGTCATAATCCCAGGGGTGCCTGTGTGGCTCAGTCAGTTAAGCATCCAACTTCAGCTCAGGTCATGACCTCACGGTTCACGAGTTCGAGCCCCAAGTCGGGCTCTGTGCTGACAGCTCAGAGCCTACAGCCCGCTTCAGATTCTGTGTCTCCCTCTCTCTCTGCCCCACCTTGCCTCCCTCCCTCTCTCTTTCTCAAAAATAAACATTAAAAATTTTTTTTAAAGTCATAATCCCATAGATGAATAAAGAAGATGTGGTACACAAACATAATGGGATATTACTCAGTCATAAAAAGGAATGAAATCTTGCCATTTGCATTAACATGGATGGATCTAGAGGATATAATGCTAAGTGAAATAAGTCAGTCAGAGAAAGACAAATGCCATATGATTTTACTCATATATGGAATTTAAAAAACAAAATGAACCAAGAAAAAGAGACAAACAAAAAACGGATTCTTAAATGCAGAGGACAAACTGGTGGTTACCAGAGGGGTGGAGGTAGGGAAAGAGGTGAAACAAGTAAAGGACATTAAGAATACACTTATCATGATGAGCACTGAGTAATATAAAGGATTGCTGAATCACTATACTGTATACCTGAAACTAACATAATACTGTGTGTTAATTATACTAAAAGAAGAAGAAAAAAAATAGTACCATATAAGTGTTACAGTTAAGTTTTTGAATCCTTCAAAATAATCCTTCAAAATAATCCCTGCTAGGATTTCATTTGGAACTACACATTGATTTCTTTTACATTAAAACTAGAAGAATAAAAAAAAAAAAGTCAATTCCCCATATCAGAAACAAATTTGATTAATATTCTGGTGCTTCTATTTCCAGATATTTTCACTCTAATTGTATAAATACATTTATATACACGTATTAATCTGCTTGGGCTGCCATAACAAAATGTCATAAACTAGGTGCTTAAACGGTAGAAACTTATTTTCTCACAGTTTCTGGAGGCTGAAAAGTCAAAGATCAAGGTTCTGGAGGGTTTGATTTCTTTTTAAAAAAAATTTTTTTTTCAACATTTATTTATTTTTGGGACAGAGACAGAGCATGAACGGGGGAGGGGCAGAGAGAGAGGGAGACACAGAATCGGAAACAGGCTCCAGGCTCTGAGCCATCAGCCCAGAGCCTGACGCGGGGCTCGAAATCCCGGACCGCGAGATCGTGACCTGGCTGAAGTCGGACGCTTAACCGACTGCGCCACCCAGGCGCCCCATGGAGGGTTTGATTTCTAGTGAGACCTCTCCTACCTTGCAAATGGCCACCTTCTTTCTGTGTCCTCACATAGCAGAGAGAGCTCTGGTGTCTCTTCCTCTTTTTAAAAGGGCACCAGCCCTATTAGATTAAGGCCCCCCAATGACTTCATTTAACATCTTCTCACATGTTCTATCTCCAAATACAATCAACACTGAGGGAACACAATTCAGCCCACAGCATTCCACCTCTGACCCCCCCCAAATTCATGTCTCTGTTGCATGCAAAATACATTTTTTCCATCCCATCAGCCCCACAAGTCTTAACTCCAACTCTAAAGTCCAAAGTATCACGTAAATATCAACTAAGTAGATACGAATGAGACTCCACGTTTGATTCATCCTGAGACAAAACTCCTCTCCAGCTATGAACCTGTGAAACCAAACAAGTTCTGTGTTCCCAAAATACAATGGTGGGCATGCATAAGAGAGAGATTCCCATTCTACAAGAAAGAAAAAGGAAAGATGGAAAAGGTAATGGATCCCAAGTAAGTCCAAAACCTAGCAAGGCAAATTATATTAGATCTTAAGGCTGTAGAATAATTCTCTTTGTTTTGACATCCCACTGAGGTGGCAGCACCTCCACAGCTCTAAAGGATAGCCCTGCCCCATGGCTTTCTGCATTGCTCTATCCCTCTGAAACACAAGGAAACAGCATTAATTGCCCTTTGGGCCTGTGCTGAGAGTGGCAGCCCTGATAATCTCTGAATCAATCACCTTCCAGGTCATTCTTCCCTTTCCTCAAGAAAAAGCACGTGTTCACAGCCAAACAACACCATGGTCTGATCCTATAGAATCCAAGAAGTCTAACAGTCTTCACTGCCTCCCTCTTTCTTTGTCCCAGTTAGTTGAAACTGGCAGTGTCTCTGCTGATATCCCATTTCTACTTCTAGATTCTGCTGAGTTTGCTGGTTAATCCATAGACCAAACGCACGATCTCTTTATTGTTCTCTTCAAAACAAACTTTCTCATTTTTTACAATACAAATTGGCTAAGGAACTAAATTATGGTTCCTTTTTACTTAACAATTCCTTCTTCAATTCAACTCTCTCCTCTCTCATTTTACTATAGGCAGTAAGCAAGACCCAAGCCACATCTTCAATACTTTGCTTAGAAATCCCCTTACAAATTTTTATCTTTCACAAACACAACAATTTAGCCAAGTTTATTGCCAGTTTGTAACCAGGATTGCCTTTCTTCCAGTTTCCAATAAACTGTTCCTTACTTCCATCTGAGACTACTCCAGAATGGCCTTTGATATCCTTATTTCTGCCAACAGTCCCTTCACAGCAATCTTGCCTTTTTCTAGTAAGCGCTGGAAAATTCTTCCAGGTTTTACCATCACCCAGTTCCAAAGCCACTTCTTCATTTTTAGGTATTTGTTTACAGCAGCACCCCACCTCTAGGAATGAATATCTCTATTAACCTGCTCAGGCTGCCATAACAAAATACCATAGAATGGGTAGACTTAACAGAAATTTGTATTCCAATTTTGGAGGTTGGGAAGTCCAAGATCAAGGTGCCAGATGATTTGATTCCTAGTGAAGGTTCTCTTCCCAGCTAGCAGATAGCCAGCTTCTTATGTCCTCACACAGAGAGCGTTGCCCTTTTCTCTTATAAGGGTACAGACTCTATCAGATTAGGGCCTCATTCTTATGATCTCATTAACCTTTATCACCTCCTCAGAGGCCCAATCTCCAAAGAGAGTCATACAGGAGCTAGGGCTTCAATGTATGAATTTTGGTAATGTGCAATTCAATCCATAGCAAGAAGCCTTAAATTACACATACACACAAAGTTTTATATACTGTTTTTTTTAGATTTTATTTTCAAGTCACTTCTACACCCAACATGGGACTTGAACTCACAACTCCAAGATCAAGAGTCACATGTTGTTCCATCTGAGTCATCCAGACACCCCAATTTTATATACTTTTTAACTTAAACTTTCATTAAAATGTCCTTTTTATTATTCAAAGCATAATTTTAAATAAATGCATAATATTCAATCTTATGATCATTTACTGTTTAACTATAGTCATTTTCAAGTTTTGTTATTTAAATAATTTCATAATCAATATTTTTGTACACAAATCTTTGTCTCCTCAATTACTTAGGATAAACTTTCAAAAGTTCAACTGGTGAGTCAAATGATTTTCTAATTGGAAAAAAAATACCAGTAATATAAACAACTAAAAAGGCAAAAAATTATTTTTTATGATTATTAATGGATATTAAAGAATCAGGACAACCAAATAAAATGTGTGATTTTTGACTGGATCATACAGTGTGTGTGGGGGGGTGCGGGGAACAGCTATAAATATATTTGGGGGACAACAGTGGAATTCTTAATTTGCACTATATATTAGATAATATTATTGTGTGAGTGTTAAATTTCTTGATTCTAATCATGGTATTCTGGTTATATAGACTGTCCTAGCTCTAAGAAGATACAATGCTGATGTGTCATGAAGTCTGAAGATTATATCCAAATGATTCAGAAAATATGTGTATTTTTGGGTATGTAATTCCTAATCTGAAATGGGACAACAGTAAAAACCTATGTCTTAGGATTATTGTGAAGATTAAATAAGTTAGTACATTTTAGCTCTTATAGCAGCATCTGGCATACTCTAAGACCTCAAAATATGTTACTTAGTATGGTTTTTCTTATTAGAAATATTACTATAACCACTGCTTTCAACCAGGAGTTGTTAAGAGTTTGGCATCTGGTTCAGAAAAAAACTACAGTAACACAAAAGAAGCACAACACACACACACACACACACACACACACACACACACACACACACACACACACACGCACACCCCGGAGGTTGAAAACTGAAAGAGAACAGACTCCAAGTCAGTCCTTTAGTGTTTCCTCAAGCTATTTTGAGAGAAACTGAAAAGGTAGCCAATGCAGGTCTCATTTCAAGAATGAATCTTCGTAGTCTGGGTAAATTAATCTCAAGAGAAATGACAAGTTCTCTCATTCAATTGTTTATCAAACTTTATTGAGGTTTACTATACTATGTATCAGGTATGGAGAAAGAGGCTAGGAATATAAAATAGAATAATGTCTATGCCTTTAAAAACCGTGTTGTCAAAAAAAAAACTGTGTTGTCAAAGAAATAAACATAAATTACAGTATATAATGGGTTATATGATGGATGTGTGCACAGAGTACTCCGAAAGGAGAGGTGAGACACCTAAGCAAGACATGGGGGAAGGAGGAAATGGCAAGAAGAATTCCCAGGGGTGATGACATTTAAACTGAGCTTTAAAGAACAGTAACAGATAAAGGAGACAAAATGGGAAAAATCATTCCTCCAGGGGTAAAAGCTTGCAAATGGAGATAAAAGATGAGCACCACTGCCCTGCCTATAGCCACACATAATCAAAAGGACTCTTCCTAAAGCCAACGGTCAGATAACCATTGAAGATATAGGCCTGAATATGTGTGCTTCCAGAATATCTTCTGTTTACACACATCACTTCTCCACCCTCCCCAATTAAAAAAAAATAATAATAATCCATGTTTGGAGAACTGTCAGCTGTGATTAAGGAGATTCAGAGACAAGTTTCTCACTTACAACACTGGGCGGCAGCAGTGGGTAATGGCTTCCTCTGGCTTTCTTCTTGAATATAATACTAGAAGCAGAAAGGAGAAAGAAAAAAAACAGGTAAGAGGCCCAAGTAAAGCAGGAAAAAAAATCAAAACAAACAAACAAATGAACAAAAACAATCACAGCTACATGTAAAAAAGTTTAGCATTTGACTAAAGTCAAATTTTTATTGAACAGAAACAGATCATCCTGATTTCCCTGTGTGATCCTGACATATAGGCCAGACTATGAAATATGCGACTGGTCCAATGTAACAGGCTAAAGCAGGATAGCAGAAGGCTGTTCTGACCTCGGGCACCTGGGTATGCACATGCTCTGCCAAGCAGCTGTAGAAGGCTTAGTTTAGAAGCCTTAGAGGGCTTATGGCTAATGTACAGATTTCCCCATTTGGGTGAGAGAACTGAAAACCTCTCTGAAACTGAGTTTTCTCATCTTTAAAAATGTGTTTTTTCCCTCACAAGGTCATGTGGAAAGTGGAATTACATATTTCAGCATGTAAAGCAACACCTAATACCTACTAGAGTCCCCTTCCCACTTACATTCTAGCTTCCCCAAGCCAACACCACCATCACAATCAGAAAAAACAGAGTACTGAAGTCATTAAAAAAAAAAAAAAAAAGGTTCTAGAAAAGGGAGAACTAAATGCAAGTCTTGAGGATAGGCAGGGTTTGTAAAGGCAAAACAAGGAGAGAAAGGCATAAACAAGTTAACACAGGTATATAGTCTGAAAAACAGAATAGTTTGCTTCAGAGCCTACTGGAGGATTCGATTCAAAAGATATAATTTGGTCCAACAATTTGCAAACAGAACATCTGAAGTTCTCATCCTGACTCTGCTACTAATTACTATGCTCTGACGTACTGGACAAGACAGAGCTCTCTAACATTGCCAACATATGAGTCATTCATTCAACAGGTATTTCTTGAGTAACCCTCATGTATGAAAGTCTTGATAAAGTTTGTGTAATATGGTAAGGAGTTTGGACTTTAATGTGTTGGGAAGCCACTTATAATTTTAAACACAAGAGGGATAGGACTCGATTACACTCTAAAAATCCTTCTGGCTGCTGTGTGAGGTGAACCATAGGGAACAAGAGGCAAAGACTAATTTTGTCTGCAATAATCCAGACAAAAGTTTACAGCAACTTACATAGAAGTATTAGTGGTAAAGGGCATTTCAAGTAGTTGGATCCAAAATACAAAACACTTTTTGTACATAAATATACTATTATATGAAAGTATTTTATAAGCAATAAACTATGATACAAATATCAGAGGGAGACACTGCCATTATTGCTTCCAATAGGGAATAATCAGAAGTCAAGCACAACTTAAACAATTTAATAGTAATAGTAAAACTGCCAATCATAAAAATGCTCACAAATTCTTGAAGGTTAAGCAACCCACCACTCCAAAGTAACAAGGGGACTTGGTTATAAATAAGAACCACTACAAATGATGATGATTTGGTAGGCAGTACATAGATCTAACAGTAAGAAAATTCTGTAATTTTAATTTTTCTTTTTTTTTAAGAAGGCTCCATGCCCAACATGGGTCTTGAATTCACAACCCTGGGATTAAGAGTCTCATGATCTACCAACTGAATTCTAATCACATTCTAAAGCTTTTAATATTAAACTAGAAGAACTGAGATCTAAGAGAGGAGAGCAGATATTTTCAAAAGACCTATTTCAGGAATCTCCTCCAAGCCCAAAGCAGAAAGATAAAGACCAACTAAAGCTTAATTAATAATATTAAGGGGGCACCTAAATGGCTCATTTGGTTAAGCATTGGACCTTTGATTTTGGTGCAGGTCATGATCTTACAGTTTGTGAGATCAAGTCCTGCATCAGACTCTGCACTGACAGCACAGAGCCTGCCTGGGATTCTCTCTCTCCCTCTCTGCCCCTCCCCCACTCACAAGCATATACTCTCTCAAAATAAATAAACTTTCAAATAATAATAATATGGGGTGCCTCAGTGGCTCAGTCAGTTAAGTACCCGACTTCAGCTCATGTCATGATCTCTCAGTTCCTTATCTTGAGCCCCACGTTGGGCTCTGTACCAGACAGCTCAGAGCCTGGAGCCTGCTTCAGATTCTGTGTCTCCCCCTGTCTCTGCCCCTTCCCTGCTCACTCTCACTCGCTCTCTCAAAAATAAACAAACATTAAAAAAAAATTTTTTTTAATAATAACATTAAGAGACTGGGCCCCTGGGTAGCTCAGTCAATTGAGTGCCTGAGTTTTGGTCTTAGCTCAAGTCTTGATCTCAGAGCAGTGAGTTTAGGCCCCACGATGGGCTCTAGGCTGGGCGTGAAGTCTACTTAATAATAATATTAAGAGAACGAAGGAAAAATCTATCATACCTATGTACAAAAACAAAACAAAAACCAGAGGGGCACCTGGCTGGCTCAGTCAGTAGAGCATGCAACTCTTCATCTGGGGGCCATGAGTTTGAGCCCCATGTTGGGGGCAGAATTTAAAAAAAAAATACAGTTCTAGAAAATTATATCCAATCTTGTTATGAATATACAGGGAAAAATTCTAAAGAGATTACTAAGCCAAATCCATCACATATTATTTATCCATAATATGTAACTGTTGTAAATTTATATGTAAATATGTATGTACATATGTGCGTATGCATGTATGTTGGTATATAAATGGCCATACATCATGACCAGGTAGGCTTTAAATGCAAGGACGGTTCAATATCTGAAAACCTATTAATTCACTACAATAATTCACCATGATAAACAGATTAAAGAAAAATTTGTGGTCTAATGGATGCAGAAAAGACTTACGTTTTCATGACAAAAATTCGTAGACAATAAAAACATAGAATTATCTCAATCTGATAAAGTACCTATCAAACTTTAGGGCAAACATACTTCAGGACTTAAGAAGTATTCCCCTTATGGTCAGGAAAAAGACAAGGCTCCCCACTTTCACTACAACTATTAAAAATTATACTGAGAGCACCTGGGTGGATCAATAGGTTAACCATCCAACTCCTGACTTGAGCTCAGGTCATGATCTCACAGTTCATGAGATTGAGACCTATATTAGGTTCTACCAGAACAGCACGGAAACTGCTTGGGATTCTCTCCCCACCCCCTGCCCCTCCCCACTTACACACATGCTCTCTCTCAATATAAATAAACTTAAAAAAAAATACTACACTGGATGCTTTATGCAATAAACTTTTTAAAATAAGGGAGCATCAAAAACAAGCAAAGTCTTAGAAAATGACCCAGACAAGAGCAGCCTAAGGAGACATGATAATTGAATTTAACACAGTGTCCTGGATGGGCTCTTGAAACAGAAAAGGCATTGAGGTAAAAACTAAGCAAACCTGGAAAAAATGTGGCTTTTTCATGTTATTTTTAGTCAATAAATATAAATAAAACATTAACTTTTAAGTTTATGATAACATATCAGAATTGGTTCATTAATGTAACAAATGTACCATACTAATGTATGTGTTAATAACAGGAAATTTCAGGGAGGGGGTGGAGAAGAGGTGATAAGAAAACTCCCTGTATTATATGTTCAGTATATCCATAAATCTACAACTCCAGTAAAAAATAAACTCTGCTAATAAAAATATGTATAAAATTTCAAACGCTTTAAAAAATAAAGAATTAGAAAGTGATTAAAAAGTATTATTATTCAAAGATGTCAAAACTGGTTACATAGAAAAATCTAAGAGAATCTCTAAACTAGTACAACTATTAACAGTTGCTGAAAAAATAAACTATTAGGACTACACCAAAATAAAAAGCTTCTGGGGCACCTGTCTGGCTCAGTTGCTAGAGCATGCAACTCTTGACCCTGAGGTCATGAGTTCGAAGAGCGTATTTTAAAAAAATAATTATTTTTTAAAAATAAAAATAATAAAAAGCTTCTACACAGCAAAGGAAAGAATCAACAAAACAAAATGAACCTATTGAATAAGAGAAGATATTTGCAAATGATGTATTCAGTAAGAGGTGAGTATGTAAAACATACAACGAACTTCTACACCTCAACACCAAAAAAAAAAAAAAAAAATCAATTAAAAACTGGGGAAAAAGTACCAACAGACATTTCTCCAAAGATGACATATAGTAGCTGAGTGGAGCCCCCAGGCCTGACTTGGGCCCTCCCTGGAGAACAGACTCAGGTGGAGGAAGACAGCTTGGTGGGACTGAGGTGCATGTTTGCTAATTTGGAGAGAGAAAACCGGCAGCATAGGAACAGAGTGGGGGGAACCCCTTCTGCAGAGTGACAAAAGGAAGAAAAAGAGAGGCTGTGGAACTGTAGTATTGTATTTGGACAAGAGAAAAACCACTCTGGACCACAGACTAGGGAATGAAAAATATGGAGAAAGCTAGTTTCTACTTTGCAAACAGCCTTAGGGGCTAAACATCAGAGTTTTCAGGAGTGTGCAACTTTCTTGGAACCAAAGCTTTTTAATATTGTAGTACTTACAGGTGCAGGACACACAACAAACTGTTAAAACACATAAAAGACAGAAACCTAGCCAAAATGATTAAATGGAAGAATTCTCCTCAAAAGAAATTCCAGGAAGAAATGACAGCCAGAGAATTGCTCAAAACAGATATATCTGAACAAGAATTTAGAATAATAGTCATAAGACTAATAGCTGGGCTTGAAAATAGCATAGAAGACAGAAGAGAATCTAATTGCTGCAGAGATCAAAGACCTAAGAAATAGTCATAATAATGAATTAAGAAATGTTGTAAATGAGATGCAAAATAAACTAGATGCAGTGACGTGGATGGAAGAAGCAGAGGAGAGAATAGATGAAATAGAAGATGAAATTATGGAAAATGATGAAGCTGAAAAAAAGAGGGAAAATAAATTACTAGTCCACAAGGGGAGACTTACAGACCTAAGTGATTCAATGAAACAAAATAATATCCATATCATAGGAGTTCCAGAAAAAGAAGAGACAGAGAAAGGGGCAGAAGGTTTATTTGAACAAATTACAACTGAGAACTTCCCTAATCTGGGGAAGGAAA